TAACACCCAGCATATAAATGTCACAGTTTGATGTTGAAATCCTCTAGTCTTGGTGTGTTATGGCAAGGCTGAAAGCTCAGCAGTCAAAAGCAGTTTCTGCTTTCCATGTCCTTCCTACCACTGGAACACTTAATACAGTAGGCTGCAGCTGGGGCTGGGGTCCATTAAGATGTTTGCTGAATTGTCGTGCTGTGTTGGAGCCAAGGTAAACAGTGGTTGCTGTGTTAAAGCTGAATCAGACAGTGTTTTTTGAGAAATATAAAGCATGAAAGACTCTACTTGAATGACTCACAGGGGGAATAAAAAAAGATCTCTTTCATATATAATAAACTATGCATTCTAATTTTTTTTGAAAAGCAATAGCTCAATAAATCACAGTATTGTTTGCTCCAGATGTTGCACTGATATAGAATTATTGAATCAAATTCATAGCTCCATCAATTGCCATAGCTAGCAACTAATTTACATCCTATGTACAGTAAGAAGGCATTTTCAAACCAGTTATCAAATTTTTTTTGCTAATTGTATTCACCTCCCTCCAATGGTTTGTAGAATTGCAGCAAAATTTAAACAAGAAGCTTTTAGAGGTGAAAAAAGTTGAATGTCAACAAAAATTAAAAACAACAAAAAACAACAACAAAAATGTCCATTGATTACTTAAGTATTCCCTCCTTGAGTCAATACTTAGTGGGAGCACCTCTACTAACATTTACTTCTGAGAGTATTTGTTGGTTTAGTCTTTAACAGTTGGCTTCAGGTCCTTCCATAACATTTCAGTGATATTTTGGTCTGGACTTTAACTTGGCCTGTTCAGTATTTGAACTTTCTTCTTCAGCCTTTCTGAAGATTTAGATTTCTGAGGATGTAGATTTGCTTGTATGTTAAGGATCACTGTCTTGCTGCATGACCCAATTTTGGCTCAGATTCAACTAACAAATTGATGTTGATGTTACAATCTGATTTCAAGGTTCGGTCAATAATGGCGAGCCCTCTAAGTCCCGAGGCAAGCCCCAAGCAAGACACTCCTACCACTGTGCTTGAGGGTTGGGAAGAAGTTCTTCTGTTGAAAGGCTTGGTATTTTATTATAGCCAAAACCTTTGAATCATCTGTCCAGAGAACATTCTTCCATCTTCCATGTGGGTGGGTGACACGATGGCACAAAGTTTAGCATTGCTTGCAGTGGTGGAGAACTGGGTTCAATTCCAGACGTGGGGTGCTGCAGTATCTGCATGGAGCTTGTATGTTCTCCCTGAGTTTGTGTGGGTTTTCTCCAGGTGCTCTGGTTTCCTGTCACAGTCCAAAGACATACTGGTAGGTTAATTGACTTCTGGGAACGCTTGATGTGGGTGAGTGTGTTTGTGTCTGTGATGAACTGGTGTCCTGTCCAGGGTGTATCCTACCTTGTGCTCATTGCTTGCTGGGATATGCTCTGATTCCCCCACAGCCCTGTATTGGATAAAGTGTTTAGAAAATAGATGTATGGATGGTCTCTTCCAGGCTCCCATCCTCCCATAAAAGCCATTCCTGTTGAGTTTTTTCCAGTTGGTTGAGATATGAACACTGGCATTAGCTGAAGGGCTGCAGAACCTTCAATATTACTCTGAATTTTCCAAATTGTTTGAATATCTCCCATTTGTCAGTATTTCCCTAGTTGTCTGATGGTGGATTAATGGAGCCTGAAATGTTTAGAAATGCTTTTGTAACCCCAAATCCAGTTCTCGTTTACTTGTTAGCCAGTTATTAAACCACCTGATTCTAATTACCCCTTTAAGTGTACTAGGAAAACTAGGGACTAGTTTCACTTATTATTTAACATTTACAAATTCTATAACTTTTTTTACTTCATATACCGTTGCATCTCAACCCACAGTGAATTGGTAAACCCCTTTGGTTATTTAAAAAAAAAAAAAATTTTGGTCAAACAGGGGTATCATGGTAGGACATTGCAATTCCTGTAATTATTTAGGGGGGGTTACAAACTTTTGTTTTGGCACTGTATATTTCAGATCTGCCTTTTTTTACGTTTTTGGTAAATATATTGCAAACAATTATGAATTTATCAAAGTGAGAGGGTCCACACTCTAATGACTTTCAAACTTGTTTTACAATCTAAAGAAGTAAGCAGCCAGCAAGAGGAAACACATTTTCTTGTAGCTGCACAATGTATGCAAAACAGAAGTAAATCATGCCCTGCTGTAGACAAGACACAAATATTAATGGGTTATTCACCTTAACACACCTTTTCAAAAAATCATCCTCCATTCCACATTCCCAGTGTGTAGAGCACTTAGAGGAACCAGAAAGACCCCTGAAAAGGTGATTCATTCAAACTCTGTAAAACTGCAGAAGGCTGAATACTGACATTGTTTCACAGCCCAGATCAACTTTGAGGTCAGATGTTAAAACCAGAGGCAGGAACACATTCATAATGCATGAGATCACCATATTGAAAATCTTGGGAAAATTAGTGAAACAAGTTACTGTACATACATTTCTTAGGATAGTCCTTCACTCATTGCTTAGGCATTTCTTGAAGACCTAAGGTCTTCTAGATTTATTTTTTTAACATCGCTTTTTTCTATGTATTGGACAAATTCGTATAAGACTGCATCTAATACATTTTCTGTTGGCAATGATTTTTCTGTGTTACATTTTTATTTTGGCCATGGTTTGAGTGTGTACAGTACATGTTTGTGTGTGTTGTTTTGTTTGTGCCCTGCACTGGCATTGTGTGCAGGGCACACTCTTTACCCTGTATTGGATAAAGAGGTTATAAAATGGATGGATGGACACTGTTATTGTCATGGAACCAATACGTGGAATAGGAGGATCCTTATGCGTGACCGGAATCCCACAGGACACAGAGTAGCAAAGGGACAATCCAAAAGACAAAATCCAAAGGCTGGGTCGATAAGGGAGGCAGAGGGTCCGGTAACGAGAGATATTCAAAACAATTCAAAGGCAAAATCCAGAAGGCGAGGTCAAGAGGCGGAAGCAGAAGATTCATAACGGGAGAGCAGTCAAAAGGTTTGGAAACGCGCACTGGAGAATACTAAGATAGGCTTCTCAATAGTGAGCGTGGGAAGGTGTGCGAAGGGGGTTTAAATACTGAAAGGAAAGGGGTGTGATTGGATGATTGGTTAGGGAGTGAGAATTTGAGGAATCTGGTGCATGTGAGAATGTGCTGGGTTCAATCAGGGATGAGATTGGGAAGCAGAGGTTCCGGGAATGTAACGTCGTTTGCGAGGGAGAGTGTGGGGCATGACAGTTATGTTTGGTACTTTGCCTAATGTGAGTTAAACACTTTATCTTTAGCATAACTAATTTGAATACTGTGAATATTGTGGTACTGTTTCTTGTGCTGTTTTAATTCCTCCAACCAATCTATTTTTACAGATTTTAGGATTTACAGTTAGCATCACATATGAAAAACAGCATTTTCAGGCACCTCTTTTTACAATGCATGAATGAAAAATGCAAAAGAGTATTTAATTTGTTCAGATAAGTTAAAGTGCAAGGAATTATGTGCACTACATGAACTGTTAATATGACCGGCAGCCTATGGCAAAGGTGCAGACCAAAAATAAACTCTAGTTTATATTTTTTGTATAGTGGGGAAAAATCACTGAAAAGGAACTAAAATATTTGCCAGTAAATGTGTAAGTCCTTATTCAAACACAAGTATAAAATAAGTCCAGAATAGTAAGGTCTATGTAAATGAATATAAACTGTTTTCACATTATGAGGCTAGGGATAATGGATAGAGATATAAAAGACCTTAATAGCTCTTAGGAAAATTAAACTTTGGCAAACTAGTCAGAAAAGTGTATAATTTAACTAATGACAGCTTTAATAACGTTTCTGTACTGTTTTTTTACAGTGATTGTTTGAATTGGAAGTCTGCCCAGTTTATGCTCTTTGCCTTCTTTTTAAGTACACAAACAGAGACTTTATAGTAAGGGGCAATATTCAACTGTACATCACCACTATAAATGATTAATTGGTTTCTCAAAAAAGCATATCCTCATTGTCTTATTGTTAACATAGCTCAAAAAAATGCAGCAAGACTGTCTCTTAACCTCGGTAAATGACTTTAAAAATTACATCACTTTATAATACAAATACTGTAGTTTCTGAAGCAATGAGACTTTAATCAACATGGACTTGCTCATTGCCTTGCTGAACTGCTGGAGCTGGTTGTAGCATACCTTTTTGTTTCTTTTTACAGCAATAATAATAATAATTGCTTACACTTACTGTACAAAGTGTTTTTCTGAACACTCCACTCAAAGCGCTTTACAGGGAATAAGGTCTCCCCTCCACCACCACCAATGTGCAGCCCCACCTGGATGATGCAACGACAGCCATAGTGCGCCAGAATGCTCACCACACATCAGCCATACTCTCTGTCTGCTGTGAGCCTCACAGTGTAACTGATATTTGATGTGCTTCCTTCCATGTGGATACATTAGCTTTACAAATTATTCATTATGATCTCAGAAGGTCTGTTTTGTTTAGGCACCTCGGGATGAGCATAGCAATAAAGAAACCCTCCATCTGTTACTATGACCTTCTGGTTGAAGTGCAGTGTAATAAAATGTGAACACTTTATTACAGTTCCTTGGGAGGTGTTTTCTCTTTGTTGAAGTGTGAATGAAATGCACAACTACAAGTAACTCTACTCCAAAATGCAACGTTACGGTCTTTTTAGATAGAAATGTGGTTGTGTACTGTGCTATTTTTTTTTCCTTTGAGGTTTTACTGGCAATTACGGAAATTATCCCTACTACAGTTATTTAAAATAGAATCATAGTAGAAATGTGAGTTGTACGACGCAGTAGAAATGTTTTAATATTGTTTCCATGGTCCCTTTTCTTAAGCTGCTTAAGGGAGGAACTGTAATGCTGAAACATGATGGTTAGATCTAGTGCATGCTCAATTTTGCTGGTGTCTACTCATAAACCGAGAGGCCCTTAATTGAGAACGTTGTAACCCGCAGCTCCTGGAGAAGCACCGAACCATGGAGAGTATGGTGGAGCTGCTGGAGATCTATCAAGCTGAAGACGAGGCCTATGGTGCTCTCGTGGAGGCCACAACTGAGCTTTACCAGTACCTGCTTCAGCCCTTCAGAGACATGAGAGAACTTGCGATGCTGAGGAGACAACAAATAAAGGTGAGAGGCTCTCAGGTGGAAGGCATCCAGCACGGCTCTGGTAGGCTGCCCGGGTATCTCACTTGGTAGACAAATGCTGTCATTTTCCTTGGATTGTACAGGGACACTGTCAAGCACCCTGTCAAGCATGAATAAAAGTGATAGCTCTTCAAATGTAATGGAAGTCTGTAGCCGTCCTTAAGTTTATATCCATTCCTCTGTTTTCTAACCACTTTATCCAGGACAGGGTCACAGAGGAGCTGGAGTCTTTCTCGAACAAGCAGCAGGTGTGAAGCAGAATACACCCTGAATGGGACACCAGTCCATTACAGAGCACACACAAGAACGAACATGCCCACATTCACGCCAGGGCCAGTTTTCCCAGAAGCCAGTCAACCTACTAGTATATCTTTGGACTGTGGGGTGAAACCAGAGCGCCAGGAGGAAACATTTGCAAAAACAGGAGAACAGAACCCCAGGAATATAACCCAAGGCCCCAGCACAGAGAGGCAGCAATGCTAACCAATACGCCACCATCTGTATAATAGATGTTCCCCAAGCCAAAACAATAAAGTAAATTTTAATATTTCAGTGACTTAATCTGAAATCCCGTGATGACTATTCTTGAACTCCTTCTGCAGAGGATTCTGTGCCAGAAGTTCATATTTGTCTAATTAAAACTATGCCAAAATTACTGCTTACTCGTACTAAATGATATGGCCTTGTAGAAGACAATGGATGAGGGCTTCACAATGCTGGTCATTGGAACCTTATTTATTTCAGTTTGTGCTGCAACTAAGCTGTCAATTCCCTAATTGAACCCTTAGCTACAGTAAAACAAATATATTTCCTCATTTAGACCCTTTAATTGTTTTTAACTCCTTAAAAGTTAGGCATTGTGAGTTGCATCATCAAGCTGCAGTAAATGCAAAAGTTCAATTAAAAATCCAATTACTTTAATTAGTTTATTGATAAAGTCAATGAGAGCTTGGCTAGAATGCAAATTAGAAAAAACTAATAAGCAGGGGGTAGGATTGCGAAGTTCTGCTTTCAATGGTGCTGTGTTTAACACCAGTTTGAGGTACTACATACAGTATACACATGGCTTGTGATCTCTCAGATATTTTCCAATTTCATTATGCTGATGCACGCATATGTGTGCATTTAGCATTTAAATTTAACATGCCCATTGCTTGTGGTAGCTGGGCTTTACTTACAGTTAGCATCGTTTAATGTAACAGAAGATAATTTGATCTGAATGGCCCCATTATTTAAATACTTTCTTCTTGGCTCTTAAAATAGCTTGATCAAATCAATTTCCTTTGTTGTTTTTATAAGATTTTTGCATGAAACCTGATTTAATTAGATAAATGTCAACCTTGCTTAGTTCCACCACAATCAATTGCATTCCTGCTGTTATGTTTTATAGCTTAGCGGTCTGATTTTAAAGACATTATGACCTTTCAGAGCTGTTCCATTCATTCATGTCTTGTTTTTTTAAAGTGAGTGTATCCTGTAACTATGCTAACTTGTTAATTGCTCAATCAAGTTTTTTCTTTTTAGAATAACCATTGAAATTTTAAATTATGAAGAATTTACGAGCTGTGAATGACTGAATGAGCTAAGTTCCAGCTCTAGTGCAGTACATTCCAGTTTCCCTTTTCTGTAGGTGAGAGTGGTCTATTTTGAATAATACGAATGTCAACACCAGCTAGCACTCTCACAAAAAACCATCTCGTGAAGTCTTTACTTTGTGATATAATAGTTCAGTTTACTATGTAAAATGTAAGCTGTTGAATGATTTCTCACCTGACTTTTCTCTTAGTAAATTATGTTTCTTGCATTCATTAAGGGCCTTTTTACCATAACTAAACTAAAAATGCACCAAAACATCACATTCCATGTGAAAACATGCTCGTTCACAAATCTCCTAAATCCCATTTGTTCATTTGTTTTTCTAATCTCCAAGGATATTTCTTTTTTAACATAATGACCAGAATAACCATGTGTTTTCCTTGCAGCAAACCACAACTCCTTCACTGTAAACTGAAATCAGACTTCACTACTTCCAACAGAAATAGCTCCAGGATTATAACCAATGCTTTTCTGACTCCAAGCCCAGTGAAGAACTGGATAACATATTCATATGAGGAAGTCCATATTTGTTTATTGTGGTTTACTTATAATTGGCGCCTTCACAATGAAATTGTGATATTAAATAGAAAAAGCTTCATACCTGTAAATGTCTTGAAAGTGTTTGACGTGTATGTTATTTTGTTGTTTTTCATTTCAATTTGAACCCAAAAGGATGGCAGCATATCTGAAATCTTTGTTCAACGCAAGCACATTCCTATTTGCTTTAATTAAAACACAGCTACAGCAGTCTGTATGAACTCTGTCAGGATTTTATATTCCAGTTTCAATGTATTACTTGTGAAGTTTCTTAAAGTTTTGAAAGCTACCATGGAAGGTAGGCAAAAGCAATAAAACCATATTAATGATAATTTGTGAAAAAAGCAACTCTGCTCCTTTTCAGCCCAGCATGGTCAGGAAAGTAAGTCCAAGCTTTTGAAAATTATATACAGTACTTCCATTTTGAAACAAGATTGTTCTCTAGCATGAATATACTGTAGAGTATAGTATAATACAGTCAGAAGATGACTGAATTATATTAATTAATAATAATAATTATTATTAATTGCTTACATTTATAAAGCGCTTTACAGGCAATGGGGACCAATGTGCAGCATCCACCTGGATGATGTGACGGCAGCCATAGTGCGCCAGAATGCTCACCACACATCAGCGATCAGCGATCTATAAATTAAGCCAATTTATAGAGGGGGATTTTTAGGAGGCCATGATAGATAAAGGCCGATGGGAAATTTGGCCAGGACGCCGGGGTACACCCCTACTCTTTTCGAGAAACACCCTGGGATTTTTAATGACCATAGAGAGTCAGGACCTAGGTTTTACGTCTCATCCGAAGGACGGCGCCTGTTTACAGTATGGTGTCCCTGTCACTAAACTGGGGCATGAGTGAGACCTCCTGGGAAAAACTAAGGTTGCTGCTGGCCCCACTAACGCCTCTTCCAGCAGCAACCTTAGTTTTTCCCAGGAGGTCTCCCATCCAGGTACTGACCAGGCTTATACCTGCTTAGCTTCAGTGGGTTGCCAGTTGTGAGTTGCAGGGTGATATGGCTGCTGGAATTGCAATATGTGACATGCTGAGAAAAGGGCAGCTATTTTAAGTTTGCTCCTCTCTGTGCAAAATATCCCAGTAACTCCTATAGCAATCAGAATGATTGTGCAATGGCTTCTTTGTGAACCAGAGTGTGATTTTGCTGTATAAACAGCTGTGAGGGGAAGTTCTGGGGTTTGATTTCTATCTCCGCTGATGGTGGAGATTTGTATTATGTGGTTCTGTGTTGATATTACAGAAACTGTAGTCTCCAAATTATGATTGCTGTTGCAAATGCATATACTGTAGTATAAATTAGGCAAAGATTAAAATCTGACTTGATGTACTGTACCTCACGGTGTAGTCTAGAAATTCAATTTTCCTTTATTGACTCCATAATGTTTTTCTTCCTCATTTTCCAACTGTGATTGTGCTTCTCTTGCTATTTGAATGGATTTCTTGAGCAAAAGCACAGCAAAAAAATTCCTGAAAAGCTCTAAGCTGAGGAAAAGCGATGAGGCAAATGCGAGTGCAACACGGATATCGCTGCTTCCAGTGGGTGTCAGAGCAGCCTGAGACTGACCATGACTGTACCTCACATTTAGTGTTAAAGATATTTTAAAGGCTGTTTTCTTAGTTTTCTAAGAAGGCTTTTATAGTTTGACTGAAACAGCAAACAACAAATGACTAGCTCAATGGCAATAATACAAAAGTTCCATCTAGGGAACCATCAGGGAAAAAATATAGGGAAACAGATTTTTTTTACTCTACCCTGCTCTTTTTGTGTATTCTTATCAAGATGTATGTACAGTATCACTTATACTAGATAGAAATACATTCATGCACAGTGACTACATCAGTTGAAATAATCGCTGTGCCAATGACAATTTACTGAAAAAATGGGACCTTGATCAGAACCAGGAATGCTGAATAGACATTTAGATATGTCTGTGGCTGTCAGTTCATTTGATTTTTGCAAGTTGGAGGAGAGTTCACTAATTATCACTGGAAAGCTGGCAGTAACAGAATAGAAACTTGTGTTTATCCACCTGCCTACTCATCTAGAGCTCTGAATAACAATAATGGAACTGTATAGGATCTTTTCTGCCAGCTGCTTCAAAATCACACTCCGGGCATTTTGGTTTTTTTCCTGTTCAGCTCTTCCTGTTTTTTTCTGACTGATTATGCTGGTGGCCTAAATCTATCCTTCCTTTATATGAAAGCTGCTTATTCCTGGAAAAGGTCACAGAAACCTGGAGCCTGTTTCAGGCGTACAGGGTACACAGCAGGATGCCACTCTATCACAGGATGTAGACCCAGACAATTTAGAGGTACCAATTAACCTTGCTAGCACACCTTTTGGAGGTAGGAGGAAACCAGAGCATCCAAAGAATATCCACACAGACATGCAAACTCTACACACAGGACAACCCAGTATAGGACCCAAAAGCAGTATTGTCACAATCCCCTGAATAGGAGTAAAAAATAAACTAAAGCAGTGTAGACGTTGTGGTTCTCTGGTGGAGAATGGGCCTTGATTAAATCAGAATGAAATCACTCACCATATTCTTAACTGTAAACTACATCTGACAAGATTTTGACTTAACTGAGCCATCATATGAAAACAATAGGCCTTTCAAACTTCCTTTCCAAATTTTCCAAATTAAGTTTGTGATTTTAGATGACTCGTGCTGTGCTAGTACTGCAGCTGAGATGCATTCTTTCTTTCAGTGACTCATATCAGCCTTTACCACTAAGAAATAAAGTTGTGATTTGATAATCTGCGATATGATAGACAAGGTAGACTACCCTACAATGTAGAGTTGTGCACTTGAAATGT